CTGGCTGGCATGTGGTGCTGGGGGATCAAACCGCGGTCCCTGTGCTTTGCCAAGCTTGTTCCAAGTAGGTGCTTTAGACCACTGAGCCATCTCGCTAGCCCCTCTCCTTTGTTCTTAAAGGGTATTTGTTTGCTTTTGGTTTTGGATTTTTGCAGCAGGAATCAAACTCAGGACCTTGTGCTTGCCAAGCAGCTCTGTGCTGCTGAGCTACATCCTGCCCTTAAAGGATATTTTTCTAAATAGAGAATTCTGTGTTGCCAGCTGTTTTCCTTTTAGCACCTAAAAAATGTATTATTTTCTTTCGTCCCCTATGGTTTCTCTGAGAAGTCTGCTGACTCGCGCTTGTTCTCTCACTGTAAGGAAGGCATCTTTTTCTCTTGCTCTTTTCGGTTTTCAGTTGGCCTCTGTGTGTGCTGCCATGGGTTTCCGTGGGTAAATCCTCTCTGGGCTTTGCGTCTGCTCCCACCTTTGGGAGCTATTCAGGTATTTCCCGAAGCCGTTGCGCCTCCCTCCCGGGGCTCTGATGACAGGTAGACAGTTTTCTGGGCCCACAGGCCTCTGCGGCGCTGCGCAGCGGCTCTCAGCCCTGTTCCTCTCAGATTGTCCCGATGGGGCAATTTCAGGGCTGTTTTTGTGTTTTCTGATTCATTCTTCTTTTGTCTTCATTTTGCTGTTGGGCTCGTCCATTGGTTTTTGTTTTGTTTTGTTTCAGTTATCTTTTAATTCTTAAACATTTTAATGTTAATTTCCATTTTATAATATCTTACAAGATTTCTTTGAGGACATAATTTAAACATTTCTGTAAGTGTCTTCATGTGCAAGTATACTCATGAGGCTGCTTTAAAGTTTTGTCAGGTAGGGCTGGCCATATAGCTCAGTGGATCAAAGCGCCTGCTTAGGCAGAGGTAGGGGCCAGGAGTTCCATCCCCTGGCCTGCCCTCCTGGCCCCGCCCCCCAGGGCATGTTGAGAAGCACTTGGGAGGCTGTAAACAGGAGGAGCACTACGAGTCCAATCTATGCAGTGAGACCCTGTACACCCTGTCCTAAATACGCACAGGAAGGAAGGAAGGAAGGAAGGAAGGAAGGAAGGAAGGAAGGAAGGAAGGAAGGAAGTTTTGTCAGGTAGTTTTAGCATCTTTGCATTTGAGATGAGATTTTCCTGGTTCTTAGGCTGGCCGTGATTTTTGTTGTTGAAATGCAGATGTCTTCAGGCCTTGTGTTATAAGGTCTGGGTCTGATTGTATTGCAGAAAGGTAGGAAGACCTCCCATGTTCATGGATTTGGGAGAATTAATGTTGTTAAAATGGCCATGCTGTCCCAAGTGATGTGCAGCCCAGTGACATCCCATCAAAGTACAAGTGATATTCCTCACAGAACTAGAAAGAAACCTTACCAATTCCTGTGGAAGCACAAAGGACTCCAGAGAGCCCAAACAATGCTGAGAAAAAGAGCAAAGCTGGCGCCCCAGTGGTATCTGGTTTCAAGACATGCCACGGAGCCACAGCGACAGCTTTTGTGTCACGGTTGGGAATAAAAGAAGGCTCACAGACTGTGAGACAGAGGCGAGGACCCAAAAGTGAATCCATATCTTTTTGGCCAGCTGATTTTGAACAAAGGTGCCAAAAGTACAGAGGAAGGACAGCCTTTTAACAGATGGTCTGGGAAAAGCGGATGTGCACAGGTGGAGGACAGAAATCAGACCCCGTCCCTGTCCTTGTACAAAACACAACTCACATTGGAATTAAAGACTTTAGCGTAAGACCCCAAACTCTGAGGTTACTACAGAGGACACGGAGAGCCATTTGAGTGTACTGGCACAAGCAGTGACTTCCCAGGTAGGATCCCAGAAACACTGGAAGCAAGAGCCACAACTGGCAGGTTGGGTCATGTAGAAGTCCAGAAGCTTCTGCACCATGGAGGAGATGGCCACAGAGTGCAGGAGCCTACAGAATGGGAGCAGGCCTGTGCCAGCGGGGCAACCGACCGTGGGCTCACGTCCACAGTACGTAAAGAACAGCAAAAGCTAATAATCCAGGAAAAAAGTATGGGCCAGCCATGCAAATAGACATTCTCAAAAAAAGGAATGCAAGTGGCCAGTAAATATGGGGAAGTGCTTGGCATCTCCTGTCCTCAGGAGGCTGCAGATCAAAGCCAGAGGCAATGCCCTCTGCACCCCAGAGCAAGTTGCAGGGAGGGTGTGGAGAGAGGGGAATCTTACCACTGTTGGGGCCGTGCGGGGCACAGCCACTGCGGATAGCAGTGTAGGACAACGTGAAGGACAGAGCACTACCCATCAGCTGTCCTGCTCTTGGAAGCATCCAAAGGAAAGGAGGTCACATCCCAGAGAGGGCCCTGCGTGGCCATGTTTGGTGGTGCTGCCCCAGTCACCAGGTTATGGAATCAGCCTGGATGCCACCAGCCGATGATAGGGTAAAGAAGGTCTGTGACTCGGCCATGAAGGGGAGCAAGACCCCGTCACATGCACGAAATGCACGAGCGGAGGATTTCATGTTAGGCCGTGAATCAGACACAGAAGGACTGGTGGTGTACGCTTTTCCTCACATGCAGAAATGTAAGAAGCAAAGTGACCTGACAGCAGAGGTACTGGGAGGGGCAGGCCTGGGGTGTGGAGGGGGCGCGTGGTAGGGCGGGGTTGGTGCACTGTGTGCATGTAAACCCGCAGCCAGCTGCAGTGTGCACAGCTCCTCTTTGTCAGTAATGACGGTACTAACAAAGCAACCACCTGCTTCTACTGGGCTTTGTGGGCCCTGCTCCTGCAGGGCAGCGCGGATGTAACTTCCTGCCAGAAGGGAGGAAAGGTCCTGTTCCTGCCTGCCCCTGTGCACCCCCTGGCAGTGAGCAGCTCAGAATTCTCCAGGAGAGGTGGGCTGTTATTGCAGGAAGAGTGTATTGCCCCGAGGCTGAGGGCACTCAGTCCCTCAAGCCAGGGTGCACACCTAGATCTTTACCTGCCTTCCCTGGTGCACCAGCGTTGGCTAAGACCCTTTTCTGTGGTGTTCTGAGGGTAAGAGTGGTTTACTGACATGCTGCCTGCTGTGCTGGGCTGTACCTTTCCAGGGAGTTGTGGTGGTGGCAGCTTTTTTTTTTTTTTGAATGGGGGGGTGGTCCTCTGCTCAGCGGCATTTCTGCATTGCTGTTTTCTCTGACTCCACGCCTGGGATTTGTGATGCAGAAGGAAAGGCAGCAAACCTGTGCTCCTTGGGTCCTACCTACCTTGTGCAGAGTGCCCAGGTTTCCGGTTGTAATTTCAAAAGCACCACTCGGGCTCAGTTTTGTTTCCTTTGGTTTCTTAGTATGGCTCATACGTGATGGCCAGACCTCTCTCCTCTCGCTGTGATGTGATTTGCTCAGCGACTTCCCTTGCCATCTGAGGGACTCAGCCATCCTTTTGAAGACTGGCTCCGTCAGATGTCTGCAGGGATTCAGAGGACCTGCTCTCTGGCTCCATCCTGTCCCTGCTGTCTGGCCACCAGTTTTAGGTTAGGTGCTGTCTCCCCACCTCTTTTCAGCTCCTGCAGTGGGATGTGGCCCTAAGCTGCTTAGCACCGCCCTGGGGGACACTCTGGGCTACTGCCCAGTGTCAGGCCCTTCCTGTTCCCACAGGCAACGGAAGAAGCTGGGAGGGGGACTTACTAGAGAAGCATAGAGCTGTCCCTTCCCCCCAAGAATTGCTGGGTAGTGTGTGGAGGAGGGACGCCTGTGTGCAGCGCCTCACTAACCTGGTCCCCTGGTGTCCCCTCGGCCCACAGGTGTCCCCATGCCTTCTCCCACAGACCATGTCCATGATCTTCTTCACTAGTGTGGTACGGGTGAGGGACGGACTGCCCCTGTCAGCCTCCACTGACTTCTACCACGCCCCAGCCTTCCTGGAGAGCAGGCGGCGCCTCAAGGCCTTGGCCATGCAGCTGGCCCGGCACCCGGGCCGGGGCTCCGCAGAGAGCCAGGACTTCCGGATACAGTAAGTGCAGCCTGAGCCGACCCCTGCCCAGGGAGCCTGCTGGACACCTCCTTCATGAGGGCCCGTCTGCTCAGAGAGAAAGGATGTTTTTCTTTTTGGCTGGCTCAGGCTGCCTTAAGTGCTGGTGTGGTGTGGCATGTGGAGCTGGGGATCGAAACACGGTCTTGCAAGCCTCACTGGGTTTGCCCATACAGGCACTTAAACAGCTGAGCCTACCGCCAAGCCCCCTGCTCAGAGAGGAGGAAGTGTGTGACTTCCCAGTGAAATCTTGGGACCTCAGCAGTTATCTGAGAAGGGGACCCAGGACGCAGCAGGCTTCACTTAGTGTTTAATTGATGTGTGGTAATGGGGCTGGAGCTCAGGGCCATATCCCCAGACTTTTAATTTTTTACTATGAGACAGTCTTACTAGGTTGCCCAGACTGGCCTCAAAACTTATGATCCTCCTGCCTCAACCTCCTGAGCCCCTGGGACCCTACCTGCTTATTCTATGTTGGAATTAAATGCTCATTGTTACTGTTGGTAGTAGTGCTAGAGACAGGGTCTCCCTGTAGATCAGGCTGGCCTCAGGATCCTGAGCTCTTCCCCGCGTCCTCCTGAGTGCTGGGATCACAGGTGTGTGCCATCACACCTCGCTTCCACCGTTACTTCCAAAAGAAGCCCAGACTTGCTTTTCTCACTGGTGCGTAATACATGGCGCTTCATAGTTACGTGTTTCCTAGGGGGCCCTGACAGAACTGCCTCCTCTGTTGCAAGGCCTGAAGTCAGCTTCAGGGGTGGCCCTGCCTGCCCCTTGGAGGCTGAGGAGGACGCTCAGGCCTGCACTGCCCCCTGGTGGAAGCCGCAGCCTCCTTGCCTGGTAGATGCCCTCTGTGCCTGCAGCCCGTCTTCTTTCTCTGGATCTCTCACTCTGAGAGCAGCAGTCATAGAACAGGCGGCCCTCATCCAGATGGCCTCATTTCATCCTCCTCATTCTGTGTCCAAATGAAGCCCCATCCAGAGGTTGAGGAGGAAGGGCTGCTGCCCTCTGTTGGGGGCACATTCCGCCCAAGCTGGGGCCTTGGTCCTGTAGGAACAGCCCCATCCTGAAGGGGCGAGGTCCACTGAAGGACCCCGTCCAGGGAGCCGTCCTTCCTCCAAGCAGAGGAAGGTTTTGTAGGGACGTCCAGATATAGCAAGACATAGAACATCAAAGCCTCAACCCCTCCTGCTGGAAATGGCCAGAGGTGTGGGCAAAGAGATGGAGAAAGTCCCGGATGGATGGAGCTGCACTTGGAAGAGACCCCTGCTTTCTTAAGACGGAGGGAGCCAGGAAGCTGGTGGTGCGCGTGTGTGTGTGGTGACACAGAGGCTTCTGGTGACTGGTCTGGGAAGCTTGGGGCTTGCCCTCAGTCCTGTGCCAGGATGAGGAGACCTTAGCGCAGAGGACAGAGTGTGGCCGGGCTGCAGCCCTGCTGGCAGGACCTTGGGTGAGTGGACGCTGGCCCTCCTGGGCTGTGGACTCGATGCAAATACAGTCATAGCAGGAGTGGGAATTCTGTGCCGGGATGGCCTGGGGACGGAGGAGGAGCTACGCCCCCAGGGCCCCCTGCAGTGTTGGCTCAGACCCTTGATTCACCTGGGGAGCTGGCCTGCGCTGCAGCTCGGACTGGGGTTCTGAGGGAAGAGATGCCCCTGGGGTGGACTTCACAGCAGCTACCGCCCCCCACTCCCTCGCAGATGCTTAGCCCCGAGCTGCAGCCCCCAGGACTTGCCTGCCCTGAGGGGTGGCCTGCAGAGGAGCCTGCATTCATTTTAGGGAGCCAGAGTAACCTAATGCCACAAGCAGATAAGGATGGCTGGAGAGAAGGTTGCCTGTGTATTATCTGGACGGGAAAGGATGAAACAAAACACGAGTGGGTGAAACCCAGTGTCAGGAGTGGTGATTTATAGACGCTGGAGACACAGGCGCCAGGGTGCGTTAACTTTGGGAAGCGGTGGATGTGGCAGAAGCGGAGGCGTCTGAGTCTCACCCCACTCCTGCCTGTGTACGTTACACAGTGTGGGGCCAGCGCCACCCATGGAAAGCACGGTCTCAGACACTGGTCCCTGGGAAGGGCCAGGGTGCACAGCCATGGCTGGCTGACAGGTACCCTCTTGGGGGTCCCACAGTGCTGGGTATGTGGGTGCTGACCCTGCTCCTGGTGATGCAGACACTACCCTTGTGTTTCAGCTTCTCTTCTGCAGGGGATGTGGCCTGCATGGCCATCTGCTCCCGCCAGTGCCCTGCAGCCATGGCCTTCTGCTTCCTGGAGACCCTGTGGTGGGAGTTCACATCGTCCTTCGACACCACCTGCATCAGGCTTGCCTCCAGGCCCTATGCCTTCTTTGAGTTCGGTTTGTACCTTTGCTTCAATATATATATGTGTGTCCTCCTTTCTCTCCTGTGCGTGATGTGTATGGAGCTCTCTGGGGTGGGGGTGGGGGCTTTGACCCTCCAGGAAACACGTGGGAGTCACAGCTACTTGACTTGAAGCCACGTTAGCCTCCCCTAAGAGGTTTCATGGTGGGACCAGGGCCAGGGTGCCTGAAGGTCCAGCGCCTGACTTTTCAGACCAGCAGAGCTGAGGAAGGGAGAGTCTGGGGATTCTCATGATAGGCCCAAGACTGCTAGGTGGAGCACAGCGGAGCTCATTCCTGTGTGTTGTGTGGCTGCTGCTGCCCTGGACAGCAGAGGTGGTTGTTAGCGACGGACACCATACATCCCTGCCGACCCAAAGTCCAGCACATTTTGCAGGCCCCTGCCAGCATGGGCTTCTATCATAAGGGAGTAGGAAAGGGGGATACAGTGTGGGCAGGTTGTCTTATAAATCCCTGGGACGGATGGACCTGCCTGCCTGCCTGCCTGCCTGCCTGCCTTCCTTCCTTCCTTCCTTCCTTCCTTCCTTCCTTCCTTCCTTCCTTCCTTCCTTTTTGTGGCCGGCTCAGCCCACCCTGGGGGTAGGACTGGTGCAGTATGTGGTGCCACCAACTGAACCTCAGTGCCTGTGCTTTGCCTAAGCTTGTCTGAGCAGGCACTTTAGACTGCTGAGCTGTCTCGCCAGCCCCCTGGGAGATTTAAATTGTATTTTATCAACATATCAGTGCTCAGCAATTTGGAAAAACTTGGTCCCTTCTGAGGAGCTTGAGAAGCGCTGCTCCGCAGGAGGCTCTCTTCCTTGGCCTAGAGCTCGGGTCTGGCATGGTGACCTGATTTGTGCTGAGCACTCTCAGCCGGGGTCTCCTTGGTGCTCTTGGGGGCTGAGCAGGAGTGGGGAGTAGAGCAGGAGTTGGGGCATTCTGTGTGTTCTGTGGCAACAGCTGTTCTCCCTGTGATGTCCTTGAACAAGGAGCTGACAGCCCTGGGTCTAGGCTGGTGCAAGACCAGCCCTGGAAATGTTTTTATGAGTTCTGGCTCCTCTGCCATGGCCAGCGCAGTCTCATATGGCCCTCTGGTGGCCCCTCATTGGCTTAAGGTGCCGTGGACCCCTTGGTGAACCAGGAGCCCAGCCTCTGGGCCTGTGGGTCCCAGACGGGGGCCCCTTCTGGAACACCCCGTCCTCAGTGCAGGAGCAGCATGGGGCTAAGTCCCTGGCACTGGGTCAGATGTGAGTCTGCTTTGCCCATGTGTATGAGATTTCTCTTCAAACGCTTTGTAGGATTTGGTAATGGATTAATATTACCATAAATGGAGGCATTAAAGTCAGTCTTTCAAACACATATTCTGGTTTGCAGAACACATTCGTATTCATTTGTGATTTTTTTCAAAGACACCTTTTTGAGATGAACCGGGCAGGAGGACTATTGCTTTCCAGCTCCGAGCTGTGGAAGCCCTGCCTAGGGCCTCCCCGTCGGGTGTGGTGAGTCCTACTCCAGCCACTGAGGGCCTAGGACACATCTGTGATGCCTTGACTGTTGTCACAGGGGGCCCCCCAGGCTGGGGTTCCACCCCCCAGCCTTACCCGTGGACTCATGCGCTTGCTGGGGACCGTGACCTTGGTTTTGGGCTTGCTGTCTCCCAGGCGGGCTGGTGCACACACCTGACGGGGTTGTTCTTTCTGCAGACAGCACCATTCAGAAAGTAAAGCGGCATTTTAACCACGCGGGCACCTCTCAGATGCAAAGCAGCTTGGAGAAAGTGCAGGAGGAGCTGGACTTCCAGCCTCCGGTGGTCCTCTCCCTGGAGGAGGTAGACACGGCCAGCAGGCTGGCGAACGGCCATGTACCTGTGCTCCGGCAGCCTGGTGAGTGCCCCATCACTGGCAAAAGGCTGCTGTGCATGTCAGATGGGCTAGGAGTGGGTGCTTGGGGTGGGAGGATGACAGATTGACCCTGATGCCACGTGAGCCTAGCTGGTGCCCTGACCCTGGGCTTCTGGGTTAATGCCGCTGTGATTTTTTTGTATTTCTTATTTTCTGATTGTATAGAATCCTGTCATAGTGTAAGAGTGGATCTTTATCCGCTAGAGCTGCCCATGCTGTAACAGTCTAATTATTTTAAGTTTTAATATTAAACTCATTGCTTGCATCTTAGAAGTGATGTATTAAAGATGTTCATGTTTTCTATTTCAAGGGATAAACTCGTAGATTGGTTGTCATACCAATCGTAAGTTTTTTTTTTGGTTTTTTTTGGCAGAACCGGGGATTGAACTCAGGCCCTTGAGGTTGCCAGGGAAGCGCTTATTCTACTGAGCCATCTCCCCAGCCCTTTTGTTTTAATTTACATTGGGAGCTTAACTTTTATAGAAAGAAGACTGGGTAGCTGAGGCCCAGGTTTCTTCTGAACACAGGGTACTCTGTAACATAAGGGTTTTTCTGCTTTGTTTTGTTTTTGGTACCAGGGATTGAGCTCGGGCCCTTGTGCTTGCCAGGCAGGCGCTGTGCTTTTGAGCTACATTCCTGGCTGTGTTTTGTTTTTTAAACTCTTTGACAGTGGGAGCAAATCCAGAAAGCGTGTGCTTGCCCCTCAGTGTGGGTCATTTCGCTGGTCTGACTCCCGATTGTCCTAAGGTGTGACAGTGCTACCAGGAGCTCTCTTTGTCCTCATAGCAACTGTGAATTGCTCAGGGGGATTCGAACATGAACAGGCACGAGCTGGGCTGTGGCTCTGGGTGTGTGAGTGAGAAATGTAAGACAAGAAAGTCTTTTTTTGTTTGTTTGTTTGTTTGTTTGTTTTTGGTGCTGGGGATGGAACTCAGGACCTTGTATTTGCTGGGCAGGTGCTTAAGCCACTGAGCTCTCTCCCTGGCCCAAGAAGGGTTGATTTTTAAAGGACCACAGCAGGAGTGGGCAACCTTTGATTGCGTGGCCCAGAGTTAGTTCCACTAGTTCTGCCTAAGAGAAGGAACGCTTGTTCTAACCAAAGTCCCAGAGCAGCGTTAGCCTAGGTAGCCCGTGTCCCCTCCTCTTCCCAATTGTTTTAAAATTCTAAAAAACTAAGTTGCCACAGATTGCTCTAGCAGTGCACTTGACACTTGAGCCGAACATTATCTTAATCAGAAAAAGAGTGGAACATTTTACAGGGTGGCCATTGAGCTGTGTGTGGGAGTGCAGTTAGAATCTAGCCACCAGCTGAGGAGGGAAGCCATGGCCACCCTGGCAGCATGGGACACTCTCAACTCAGAAGGCCTTGCTGGCTGCCTGGCCCGTGCTGAGTGTGCCAGTTGGGTGTGTACAGACCTTGCCGTGTCCCCTGGGTGCAGCCCACCTGGCTGCGAGCCCCTGCCATGATGGGCGAAACCAAGCCCTGGCAGAGCCCTGCCTGCTAGGAGAAGCCTATTTCCAGAAGGAACTCAGCTCGTGCAGCGCTGTCCTGCCCCTTGCAGGTCGCCTTTTCCTCTCGAATGGCTGTGATTTTAAAGTCTGCGCATCACACAGAGTCTGCCCTCGTGGAGGGGAGGCTGTGCCACCACCGCTCTGTTGTTCCCAGCCGTGGTTGTCACCGGGCGCTTGTCTTTCTCCCTGTCAAGCACCCCCTTTCCGCATGGAGCCTGTGACTGCCCTGGGTGTCCTGTCCCTTGTCCTCAACATCATGTGCGCCGCTCTCAACCTCATCCGCGGAGTCCACCTCGCAGAGCACTCCCTCCAGGTAGCCCGGGTCTCGCACACCTGCCGCGCGCGAGGGGCCCGCTCGACACGTAGGGCCCTGCTGCTGTCCTGCGTGCAGCTGGACTCGAGCCTGGGGCCTTCACACTGAGGGGCATCCCAGGCCCCTCTCAAGTTGTAGACAGCTCTCGCTTGGTTTCCCGGGCTGAGAAGCGGGCTGTTTGCTGCAAGGAGCGCAGGCCAGCGCCTCCCGGGACCTGGGAGTCCGGCCAGGGCTGCCCCTTGTTTGCCCACAGCAGAAGGCAGGTTCTCAGGCTTCAGGTTTCAGGCCCTTTTTTCTCACAGTCCTGTGTACTTCCACAGAGCTTCTTGTTCTTTCTGAAAGGGCTGCACCCCTAACACTCGGTGACACAGCTCTTTCTGCCGTTCCTTCCTTCTCCGAGCAATGCTCCATGTCAACCCTTATCTAGCTTTTGGAGTCAGAGTCTTTGCAGGCTGGTTTTAAACTCTCAGCTGTCTTTCTGCCTCAGCCTCCTGAGTGCTGGGACTGCAGGTATGCACCACCACCACCAAAAGTAGTTGTCATTTTTGAAGTACTTCCAATACTTGGGGGGGCCTGGCCATAGCTCAGTTCTTTAAGGGCCTGCTTCCACAAAGCTGTCAGCCTCAGGTTGCTGTAGTTCGATCCCCACAACACCCTGGCCAGCCAAACCACCCCTGAGGGCATTCGGAGCAAAAAGAAAAAAACCCAATACTTGGAAAGGGACTGGAACTATAGTTAGCACGGGTATCTTCAGAGCAGCACTGTAGTGCTCGCCTCTCCCACATGGTGGCTGGCGTCTGCCTTGTGCCGGGTGCTGGGTCTCAGCAGGCTGAGCTAGATGGGCTGCCCCCTTGGC